GTAAATGAAAATTGTGTAACGCATATAATCAATAAAATGGGTAACGTTGTGTGTATTAAAAAAAAAAAAAAAAAAAATATTAATCTAGTACCTTTACATAATCCTTCTAATGAATAGAGATTTCTTAATAAAATTACAGAAATATTTTTAAGCACCAATTTATATGAAGATATTTTACTTGATATTAGGGTATTTAAAAATTTAAAAGAATAAAGACTTTGATCAATTTCATCTTTATCCTCAATTGAATCTATAAATAGAAATTCAAATGTTTCATCAAGAATATATTTTAATATCTATTGATAGATTTCCTCCATATTTGTATTTTTATTGTAGAATTACTCTATTTTTGAGATAATTTTTATCTTGATAATTTGAATTAATATCATGAAAAATTTATGGTATCAATTCATCAAGATTTTTATTATTAAGAATAAAATCATCAGGTAATCTTATGAAATCATTATCAATATTAGGATCCATAAATTCTCTACTTTTATCAATACTTAATAAGAGATTAATAAAGTTTTTTTGTTCAATATCATATTACTATTGAATTCTTATATTAATTGTTAATTTCATATTTTGAATATCTTTTCAAAAAATGGAAAATTTTAAACATGTATCAACAATTTATATATGAGTACTTCAATTTATAACAGGTAAAATTTGTCTAAAGTCTCCTTCAAGAACAATTACTTTGTCTCCAAACAATTTGTTAACATTTGTTAAATCTCTAAATGTTTTATTGACTGCTTTAAAAGCATATTTATATACCCTTGGGGCTTTATCTCATACAATTATCTTGACAATTCTGATTAAGTTTGTCAATTCAAAAATTTTTTAATTGACAAAGTGATAGTTTCAGTCAAATTTAATGGAATTTTAAATTTTTGAGTAAGCAGTTTTTCTATCACTTATCAACAATACAATAATTTTTAAGGATACCACAGATATTGCAATTTCATTTAAACCACTTGATAATCTTACATAAGCCAAAATCATATTGTAAAGAAATGTTTTTTCAGTTTTCCCAGATAACGATGGGTCCCTAAAGTATTTAGTATATAAAATTTCACAGATCACTTAGGTCCTTTTTTGAGAAATAAAAATCAGAAAATGCTATAAATCAATAATTTGGATAATGGAAAACAATTGTGGATAGTTTTTTTTATAGTTATTAATTTAAAATTTTAATGTTTCCTAGTGAGGGACATTTGACTTTTGTCCCTGTCTCCCCCTTTAGGGACCCATCTTTACCCCCAGGTTCATTAATAAAAAAAAATATTTTTTTGAATTTCTTCATTAATTGCTTTCATGATAATATAAAAAATTAATTTTTTATCATCATTTAATTTATCAAGATAATACAAAACTTGTTGAATTTCATATTGATTATAATTTTGTTCTTTAGCAATTAATAAATTTGGATTATTCTCAAGTAATGAATAATCAGGTACTGGGAGGTTTGGAAAATTCACCTAGGACAAATTATTTTGAATCAGATATTTTTCAATATCCATAACAATTTTGGTAGAATTGTAACTGAATTTGAATCAATCAATGGATCTATCTTGATGCTCCAAAATGAAATCAATCGATATTATGACACAGTCCAGGCACGAAGTGACATTTCTCCCAAAATAATTGAGCCTATCGAAGACACCGACCAACAAAGTGATGCAAGTCAATCTGAAGCTTCTTCTAGTTCGAGCCAACGATCATTTTCGGATATTACTTCGGCAATCTGGAACCAATTTAAAATTATTTTTGATAGGATTATGGCAGAAAAAGAATGTTCTTTCGACGATATGTGTAATGTTGTAATGGTTGAACTTATTGCTCTTAGGGTGGGAAAAATTAGTAAAGATTCGATGATTTTAGCAAAGCCAATGAAACAATATGACGCAGGGACTCGCATAAATGGCTTAGGATCCGCGTACTCCCTCCCTTGAAAGCATGTCATATTTCTCATATTTTCTTTAAATAAAACAATAATAAATTTTCGCCCGAATTGGGCTTGATTTTTTTAATCATAGTCGAATAAGATTATTTTATTATGCGATTAATTAACATTAAATTTTCCGTTTTCTTAATGAATTCGTCAGCATTTTCTTGGATGTAACATTTTATCGAGCGAGACCGAAAAGTTACATTCTTATTTTCAGGGTGATATGCAAATACATTACCCTCCAATAACTTGCTTGGTTCCACTTTGGTCATTTTTCGAAGCATGCTAATATGAAGCAAATAATTAGAATTTAACAAAGTTCTGATGATAATTTTTGCCGCCTCGTGATTTGGTTGACCTGGATTCATTCCTACCGTTTCAAGATTATCATAGACTGTACCAAAGACTTGCTGTTTAATGACTACATGAAAAGAGTTAGTAAGAAGTGATCCAAAGCAGAATTGTGCAAATCTAATTGATGCAAAATAATGAACCCAATTTTACCTTCGAGAGATTGTCCAGCTAGAGACTTGTCCGCAACAGATTTTAGATCAACAATGCGCCCACCAACCAATTGATATAATCTTTTTGCTTCTACAGAGTTGATCTTGTGCTTGTTGACTAGATAATCCATTGATTCCTTTTCACTGAGATCGCCAATCTCCATCACCGGTTTATCTGCTCGTGACCAGGCACTACGTGCTAAAAATAAGAATCACAATCTGTAAATAATATTAATTT